CTGATCCTCCGTCCTACACTACAGTCCCCTGGCTTTGAAAGCCGATAAGAGCCCCGCCTCTTCTGGAATGACCTGGAAGATCTCTACGCCCACCTCACCGGCAAGCTGCTAGCTGTTAGCTAGCAAATTCGGCTTCGGGTTTGTCGACGAACGAGGCTGCGTTTAATCGCAGTCATTGCGCCATCTTGGCATTTGGGCTTCCAACTTCAGCCCTTCAGCCACTGCACCAGGTCTCCCACCTCGCTGTCATCCAGGGACACGAACTTCTCCGAAGAAACCGGAACGGCACCCTGCGGAATTTGGAAATGTAGGGCTCAGCGTCTGGAGTTCAGGGTTTCTGGAGGTCGTCAGGTAGCGGCTTCTGGGCTGAGGAATTCCGGATTCAACTTCAACGACTGGACCTGTCTTCGAAACGCCAACTCCAGGTTGAGACGGTCAGGACAGCATAGGATGTTGATATGAAATGAGAATCGTCATGGATGGGGAGGCTGCCTTCACCGTCAGCGCGTAGTCAGGGTTGTTGCCCTCTACCTCCTTGGACTCATAGGACCAGCCTGCAGCGTTGGAGGGGTCCGCGTGCTGCCCGCTACCCCGGACGTGCGTGAGGACCACACGTGCTTGCTGCGGCTCCCTGCGGAAAACCCCGCCATCAGCCATCTCGCATCTACCCCATAGGCCCGGCCCCTAAAAATAGAGAAAGCTCTGTAATCCCAACAAGGAAAACCCCACATCAACTCTGAGAGGCCCCGGCCCAGCAAGTGAAGAACCGCCTTGGTCTTGAACTTGAACGGGGCAGGCTCCTCCATGCACAAGGAGGATGAGGGTCGGTTGAAAGTCGAAGTCTGTGTGTAAAGCTTAGGTCGACGTCTCTGAGAATATCGGTTTGGTCTGCGAGAAAGCCCCCTGGACACACTCCTGCAAATGAAGGCAGCACCTCCGTGAGACCAGACGACGCAAAGAGAGATGTGCAAGCCCGAAGCAGAGGACCCTGTTCAGCTCCGGTTCTGCCATTGAGAGGACTACATTTAGAAGTCGGTCCGACTGGCAACTTGCCTCGCCAACCCTTGCAAGCAATGGACACCTCTGAACTCTGCTTCTGCTCTGACTCCGGTTCGACCCGCTCCTCCCCTTCGACCTTCTTCTCCGACCTTCAACGAGCTCGGATCAAGTCAGTTTCTCCAGGCATGATGCTACTCTGGGCTCTGCATTCCAGAGCTTAGTGGGTACCACATGTTGTGCTTGCCGTTGATTGCGTCTTCAGGGCTTTTTCAAGTCGGCCTCGACGTTGAGGGCTCCCCAGTGCTCGAAAGAGTCTGAGCCGCGGACAGCGTCACTCTGCCGAGGCTGCCTTCCAACTGGAGCCAGTGGAGAGGCTTGGCCTGCGCGATGGCCTGGCCACACACAAGCGCAGTCTAAGCGAACTACGGGTAGACCGAAACTCACCGATGAGGCCGTGGCCGAGGCGACGGTGAGGTTCGTTTCGGCTCCGAAAACCTCGCAGAAAGTCCGTGGTCCGTGATCGTTCAGAGGTTCTCGCACGGGGCACCCAACAAGTGAAGCTTAAGACTGCCTGTCTGGCACCCGTAAGATCAACAGAAGCCTTCGCAATGCTTGAAATCGGAACTGCAAGCCGCAGAGCATCCTCCCACATGTATGAACTCCCGCGGTGCTTCGGCTTGTGGAGTTGGATTTAGGGCTCGGGCTTTCGGTCTGTAAGGCTTGGTGGATTGGGGCAGTGCTCCAGGGCTTGTTGGGCCCGCCAGCCGAAGCCCGACGCCTCTACTGAGAGACCCAATACGCGATTTTGGTGCAGGTAATGGAGGAGACCTCCACTCAATTTCCAGAAGAGCCAGACGAGCTCCTGAATCATCTGAACTCTAACACAATGTGAACTCCCTGAACTCCGGGGCAACACACTCACTGCGCCTTGGGTCCCGAAACTCCTATGTCTTATCAAGCCACCCACCTCTTTCCTGCCGGATTGCATAGCCAGCCGCCGATCCCAAGCCTGGTGATGAGTCTCTGAGGTATGATTTCTGTGCTTGTTGAGGCTTCTGGCTTTGTGGCTTGAGGCTTCAAAGCTGTGGACGGTTGGGACACGGACATGTGTTGGGGTCTCCGGTTTTGGCCTTGAACAACTTCGGAAAACCCAGATCGATTCCAGGAGCAGTTGTTCGAGCCCAGTTTTGACCACCCACCATCCAAAATTCGGATCGGCAGTTTAGAATACAGACTGAACGAAGCCCCGAACATGTTGAGCTAGGAAGTGGAAGACGGAGCTGGATCTCTCCGGGGCCAGTCAGTGCAACAAGGCAGGGTTCGACCCTATCCCGTACCTACACAAGGCTACAGCCTGACAGAGCAATAAAACCAAAATCACTCTCGGCCAAGATCTCCAACCCCGAAGCCACGATGGACAAGGACAAGCCCCGTGCCACTCGTGGCCCATTGATCGTGCACCAGACACCCGCATCGCCCTTCGTCTGGCCGGCTCCTCGTCAAGGAATGAACTCCAGAAAGCTGATCCTCAACACCTAAAGAATTGCCATCGGGTCAGTTGCAAGTCGTGTGGTCCCGCATACTTCACCTGCTGGAAAGCCGCAGTCCACTCGGTGGCAACAGAGGTGGTAGTGGTGACTGCTCAGCAGTTTTGGCAGCGGCGACAACACCGCCCACATTCTGCTGTGGTGGTTTAGCATTGTGGATGGGGGGATTGCTATCAGTAGCAGTGCCTCATAATGACACGACCCATGATGTCTCTCACCCGTCACAGGTCTCCTGGCCGCGGTTCGGAATGCAAAACGACCTCGGCACAGTATTGTCTCGTACCTGAACGTCTAGTCTAGAAGCTCTTCTGGGTGCCAACATCCTCCACAACCTGCGCTTCTAGCTCAGAACACATTGCCCCGCCGACTGGGCCCCTGGCACTGGATATCCGGTCCATATTGATGAACTTGGACCTTGAGCCCGGACATGGTGCTTTCAGGTTCCTTTTTGCAGGAAGCCAGGACACCAGCAACTGCGGATGACCCGGCTCCGAAGGCAGAGGACAAGGCTGCAGATTCATGCACAACTGCACAAAACTGCGAAGATGAGAGTCATTGAGGTGCATCGTACAGCTGCGATGGCTTGTGAGTCACCCGCAACACCACGAAACTTCAGCCCTCTCCAACACAGGTCCCGACCAGTCTGTCTTGTTCAGAACGGCGATGCCATCGGTGGGCTGCTGGTCCGCAAAAAACCTGGGGTCATGGCGGAGGAGATAGGTTTCGTGTGTCGTAGCTTCGGATCACTTTACAGCACGACGAATCTGAAAAGTAGTTGCGAGGAATCTCCATCTCACGTGTCTGAGACAGCGCCGCTTAGCCCTTCGTGCAGACAAGTCTATCCCCCCTCCGAATACGGCGAATGGCTCTCCAGTCGTTGCTTTCATCTTGAGGGCCGGTGCTTCAAATTTTCGACAGCAGCATGTTTGAGAAAGTCTACATATCGGAAGGTCTGTATGAAATCCATGTGCGACTCTGTTTTGAGGTTTGCAAGAAGAACGCACGGAGACATGAGGTCGTAGAAAGTCCATAAAGCAATGGAGCTCAGCTGAATTTTCACTTGGTCTTGTGAGTCCTACTCGGCAGGTAAAAAGCAATTGTCTTCCCGTTAATCTTATTGGGCAGCAGCATCCTTGGGATAGAGTCTAGCTTCACAACTACATATAGATCGGGAAAGAATACTGCTGTGTGCCACTTGCACGCCACAGTTTTTGAAGCATCATCAAGGGAGTACCGTTGTGTGGAATTCCTTGAAAATTGCTGGAGTGTCCGAAACTTTTCACACTTCAGGAGTCTTCAGACATGAGCTCAAGCAAGGCACCCTAAATCTGAGCCACTCTCATCAATTGAGCTGTAACGGTTTTTGCCATTACTAGTCGTGTCGCTTTTTGAGTCTTGGCCGCCCACATAATACACCATCCGGTCGCTGGGCTAGTTCAGGCAATACCCACTGGGCCAGTGGGTTTCGAGTGCAACATGAAAGCTGCATCACCAGCAAACACAAACTGAAGCAATGCAAGTATCACCTGCCACAGTATACAGATATCTCACATTGCCATCATTGCACGGTATCAAAAGTCACCGTTTCAGCCTAAACCCTACATTCTTGGCTGGTGCTGTAAACGTCGGATCACAGCTAAGCCGAGCAACAGTGCCGACAGGTTGTCGGAAGCGTACACCAACACCTCAGAACATTGCCGTGATAACTGCTACAATGAACGGATGCAAAATCTGAAGGGAGCTCAGGCACAAGCAAGTGGACACGTGCCTGGGTTACCTCTTAAAGCAAACTGGCACCTGTTTTACACCCGATCTTCCTTCAGACATTTCAGACATTCTTCAAGCCGAAACGACGTGATTCCTTGCAACAAGGCAGTCAAAGAAACGCTGGGGCTTGTACCGTCTGAAGTGAGAGATTACCATCTTGAAGCGCCGAGTAGCCCGGCCTGTGTAGGACACAAACATCATGGCCTACATAGGGTACAGGGTTTAGGGTATAGGTATCCCTCCTCCTCCTACTGCTCCTCCTCCTGCTCACAGTCCCGGTCCTACTCCACGCCTATGCCTAATCCTTGTCTTACTCATACTCCTACCCCTCCGAAAGAAAAGCGTCCTGAATTCTTCACACAATGAGAATGGCACTAACAGTTCGATCTAACAGTTCAATGTCTTACAAATTATGGTAAATGTCGAAACTGCAACGTTCTCGCAGGCTCCATGTAGTTATCAGCTCATCGAACACCATGGATCTTGCTAAGCTTGCGCATGCTCACACATCGTTTCATTGAATGATCAATTTCGTCATGTTCGAGTATTCTGGCAAAATCCTAGTGATCAATGTGAGCAACACCGTCATTTTGCATCATTTGTCCTGATGCTGTTATTTACAACAATGCCATTACAAAAATCGGGACACCCACACTCCCCTCTACTGCTCTCCGGGATCTCCCCACTTCAGCCAGACGGCTGGGGTGAGCCGTGGGGCAGCTGGGCTCCAGGCGATGTGGACCGCAGGACGTCTTTGTCCTTGCTCCACTTCTCAAAAGCCTGATTCAACTGCGCGGCCTCCGGCAAGAGAGATCACGGACGCTGCCATGAAATAAATGTGCCTGCATTTGACGGCAGGCCGAAACCGTTCTGCTACCATCACCACCCTGCTTCAGTCTCGAGTTCAAGTGATAACGACTTTAGTAACTTTGGTAGTCAGGTTCGTTGGGTGCACTGATCGTAACTTCGGATCACGATAAGCTTCGCAACAACTTATAGAGCAGTAATGAGCAGCATGCCGACGTGGTCGGGCGGGTTGTAAGACTGGTAGGAGCCCGGAAACCAGAGACATGTCAACAAACAGAACGCGGCAGGGCCATAAGCCTTGTCATTGTTCCCGGAGGGGCCGTTGGTGTCGTTCGAGTCCACCTTCAAAGATGCGGCTGCTGGCAGAGGAGACTCACTGCAACACTATCATTACGCACCCTCTTGGCCAGTCACTGGGCACAAAACTGATGCACTTTCCCTTGCATGTGCTTCCTGTATGGTGGCTTGCTGCAGGACACACCAGCTCAAGACATCCTGAACCGCCTGAGCCTCATGAGTCGAGGCTAAGGCCTCGGGGCCTGCTGTCCTTGGGCCTTGGGCCTGGGAACTGTAGTGTAGACCGATGTGGATCTCTGCAAAAGGCCTTCGTGTCCGCATCTTTTGTCTTGTCAGCCTGGGGAATCTCCGAATCTTCCAGGGATCAGACCGAGACCCTTCAACCCTGAAACACCGATTCTCAGACCCGAAGCTGAGTGTGGGGGTATGTTATGGTATGTTGATGTCTGATGAGCAACCTGTACCGATACATGAAACATATACACCTCAGACGATGAATTTCCTTGACTGCCACTGTTCTTTCTGCGTCACACACTCCAGTACACATGAGGCAGCATGGGGTTTTCTGAGGGCGACGCGTTCACCTTGAGGCTCAAATGGCAAACATCGTCTGCAGAGACCTTAGGCATCAAGGAGGGTTCCGTGCGACAGGCTTCAATCATGCTCGGGCCCTTCTCTCCTAGTGTCGCGGCCAACAGGAAAATCCAAGACGGCACCAGGAAGGTACAAGAAGCCCCTGCACCCCAAACACTGATCTCGAGGCCCCAACGGTCTGCATGGAGTAGTCAACTACTTGACCCACTTTGGCAGATTGCACCTGTCGAAGCTCTCGGGCAACGGCGGACCTCCTTATCGTTAGAAATTGAAGCCATGCGGAGCAGAAGCCGAAAGGCAGCGGTATCCCCAATCTTCAATAAAGGGCCACAAGCCGGGCATAAAAGTCGTGTCCTCAACAACACCACAGTTGGAGCGCCGGCACCCTTGCCATCATGCTGGAGGTCAGCGGGTACGTTCGGTCGAAGATCATGTCTTCCCGGTAGCTGCGGAACCTGTGCAACAGGAACGGCAGTGTAGGTAGGGAACGTGCCCAGAGACCAGAACCAAGAATTCCAAGACTGCTAAGTGTCTGCTAAGTCAGAGCTCTGAGCCAGCGAAACATGCCGAAACCTTCCGAAGCTCAACTGGAAGCTTCAAGTCGGCAAAGCTCTGTCGGAGATCCGGCCTCTGCTGGATGCGCGTGATCACGCCCTCCCGGACCTGCGATTGAAAGTCTTCACTCCCAGCGTCTGTAAGCTTTCCGCTTCTCTGCCGGCCGAGGAGCGTCGTCGAGTTCTTTGGCTTTCTGCTTGCCCAACTTCGTGAGCTTCTCGGACATGAATCGTGCTGCCCAGATCTGCTGATCTTTGCGCCGCTGCTGCTCGTCCATTTTCTTCCTGATAGCGCGAAGAGGCTCGAAGTATTGCAGTTTTCTTGGGTAAAGCTTGAAGCTTTATGGCTGGTGAAGGCTTCGGCATGGCACCACAGACCCGCTGAGGGGGGTTTTAGTTGCTTTTGGCCTTGGCTTCAGGGTCCTCTCCTCACCTGATCAAAAATGTTCAGGGCCGGGTCTGAGGCAGCGCAGGCTGATCGGTCCTGTAGACCAGCTTGAACTTCATCCAGCCGCGACTGTGGTCAACCTGCGCTGACAAGTCGAGCAAATCTCACTTGCCTAGGCCAGTGCTTTAGAAAAAAACAGTGGAAAAAGGGGAGCACAGGATTGGGGGCCTTCATCAGCCGCATGGCCATGTTCTTCACCAAGGCTTTCGTCTTGGCATACTCACCTGGAACAGGAACCGCGTCCAGACCAGCAATTCGAAGAGGCGGTGAAGACAAGTCCAAGAGACAATGCCATCTTAATCCTACGCCAGCACGAACTCCGAGTCTCGAACCAAGCAGAATGATGCCCCGATCCTGAGTCCCGGGCCATAGTACATGGCCAGCGAGTCCCAAGCTTTCTGCAAAGCGCCGGAAGTGGCACGGCCGATGGACCTCGCTTGAAGCGTGGAGAGTCTGGGTCCATGAGGAGCGAAGCGCTTCGATGTGAAGGGAAGGCATAGAGCTTAGAAGCTCTTTTCAGAAAGAGCAGAAATCTTCACGTTTTTGGAGGACACTAAACAACTTCGCGTTCACCGAAGCTCGTAAGTACTAGTTGTCAGTACTCGAGGCTGAAGACACAGAGCGCTGAAGTCCAGGGCAGACAGGCGCCAGGGCACACTAGATATGTGCATGCAAGGCTAAGAGAATATACAGATTGACACATGACCATTCAGATTCATAACTGAGGGGCTGCTCCTATCTCCAGCACAGGGCCAGCAGTGATCCCAACGGCAAGTGACCCGAAAGCCCAAAGAGGATCTCGCGCCCGAGGCCGCAACACCTTCAGCGCCCGACGGTCGTTCTCTGATACTAACACCTGCTCCGACGGTCCGGCGGTCGAGCTGCGCTTTGTTGCTTCATTCGGAGCCAATTGCAGGTCTCCAAGACTCTTTGGCGCACGAATGTCGAATGTGACGAGGGAAAGCCATGCATGGACGGGACATGCCGTGTTGAAGCGACTTGTGCTGTGGAGCCTTGGCCAGCGTGAAAGCTCGCTTCCATCTGTGAATCTTGGCCTCATCCTTTGAATACAGGTACAACCTCAGTGAGGAGGGATTGCTTGAGTGCTTGCATCCTGCTCCACAGACCTGAAACCAAAACCTTGGATGGAGGATCCGGCCTGGACAGCCCAGGATCGAGCGCTGACAACTTCGAAGTTCAAGGTTTGCAGGTGTGTCCGCGTGTGTGTGCGTGCGTGCGTGCGTGCGTGCGTGCGTGCGTGCGTGCGTGCGTGCGTGCGTGCGTGCGTGCGTGGGTGCGTGCGTGCGTGCGTGCGTGCGTGCGTG